ATCACCCTAGGCCTCTCGGTTATTCAGAAAAAGTTGTTTAAAGGTTTTAAACATATTTGACCCCTGTGACCTTGAAAGTGGGTCAAGGTCATTTATTTGAACAAACTTGGTAGCCCTTCATCCCAGCATATTACTGCCCAAATATCATCACGCTAGGCCTCTCGGTTATTCAGAAAAAGTTGTTTAAAGGTTTTAAACATATTTGACCCTTGTGACCTTGAAAGTGGGTCAAGGTCATTCATTTGAACAAACTTGGTAGCCCTTCATCCCAGCATGTTACTGGCCAACTATCATCAACCTGGGCTTCTTGGTTATTCAGAAGAAATTGTTTAAATGTTTTTAACATATTTGACCCCTGTGACCTTGAATATAAGTCAAGGTCATTTATTTGAAAAATCCTGGCAGCCCTTCATCCCAGCATGTTACTAGTCAAATATTATCACTCTAGGCCTCTTGGTTTTTCAGAAGAAGTTGTTTAAATGTTTATAACATATTTGATCCCTGTGACCTTGGATATAAGTCAAGGTCATTTATTTCAACAAACTTGGTAGTCCTTCATCCCAGCATGTTACTGGCCATATATCATCACCCTAGGCCTCTCGGTTATTCAGAAGAAGTTGTTTTAAAGATTTTTACATATTTGACCCCTGTGATCTTGAATATAAGGCAAGGTCATTTATTTGAACAAACTTGGAAGCCCTTAATTCAAGCATGTTACTGGCCAAATATCATCATCCTAGGCCTCTTGGTTATTCAGAAGAAGTTGTTTGAAGATTTTAACATATTTGACCCCTGTGACCTTGAAAATTGATGAAGGTCATTTATTTAAACAAACTTCGTACCCTTCATCCAAGCAAGCTTCTGGCCAAATATCATCATCCTAGGCCTTTTGGTTACTGAGAAGAAGTTGTTTAAAGTAAAAAGTTGACGCCGGACGGACGCCGCACCATGCCATAAGCTCACTTGGCCATTCGGGCCAGGTGAGTTAAAAAAGTCAACTAAACACCATGTTTTCCAAATGACTTTTAAGTCAACGATCGCCTGTGACAAATGTAAACAAAAAGAAGTTTTGCTAGGAGGAATACAATGAACCTTACAACTATGTAAAAAAAATCAAAAAAAATCCTATCATAACTGGCTTTAAATCCTATCGTCACTTGCTTTTCATATGTCCATTTACACCTGAAATGGTGTTGTTATTATTACAATATTTTTTCCATAATATACTGATATGTTTATGACGAACTATTTTCTTGCGCGGATTACTTTTGTGTGGACACTATTTCCAGTTTTGAACGTCATCTGGCATTTTCAACTAGCCAATATCTTTCTCAACTCCCTGGGGAGCATACAGCCGGTGCTGCCAGTTCGGTGCTCACAGCTAGCATTCAACTCATTTACAGCTGAGTAGGCTGGAATAAGAGGAGTAAAGTATCTTGTTCAAAGATACAACACAGTGCCATGACGTGACTCAAATTTGCCACCCTTCTGTCACGAGCCCGGCATCCTACCACCGTGCCTCAAACATAACACATTAAAATATTTAAAATCAGTCATAAAAGCTATTGAAGTACTACCAAAGCAATGATAGTTATACCAACCTCTGGATTGATCCACAAATGAGTTTCAGTCTCACATCCTTCCTGCTCAAGAAAATTTTCAAAGTCTGATGTTTTCCTTTGGCAGCATGACCAAAACTTCATCCTTCATTTGAATAAATGACAGAACATTAAACTTGTATTTGCCTTGCATTTCCATGACATATTAGTAAAATAATTAGAGGTTTTTATATACAGCTTTATCACAACATAGTTCGTAGGTCATCTCAAAGCAGTTCACAAATTTAACGTAAACAATACTCTACAGAATCACCCGACTTCGACTCTGGTGTGGTGATCAATACATTACATCTACACAATATGATGAAATCACAATCGTCACCCTGGAGATTATTGGCCAATGATGGCTGTTGGCTGTTTCATTGACAGAAATGCTTCTGTGCCTTAAATTTGAATGACAACTTCAATATTTATCTTTTAAATACAACTGGCCCCAGAGCTTGTTTTGCTCAACAAGACACTTTTAAGCAATTTTGGCAAAATATTCTCATTTAAAGTACTGTTGTAATTATCATTTCATTTTGGGACCCACCTTTTAGCACCTACAGGGACAATACCCTTCCTTCAATAACATTTTAGTCCCTAGTCCTATGGGTGGTGATCTTGACATTTTCAAAGTAATAATCCAAAGATTATAATAAGTCCCCAGAGGCTTGCATGATCCAGGGAGCAATCATGCTACACAAACGTATTGATTAGGCCAAAATAGGGAAATCTGTGCAATATTACTTTTCATTGGAATCTTTTGCCAGGATAACTTCTATATCATGGTTAACAATTCAGGCCTTTTAGACCTTTTGCTATATCTGTGTTTTTGTGCTATACTGATCATTAGATATGTTCATTTATCTATCATTTTCATAAAAAATTACAGTAACATTAACCTTTGACCTTTACATTTGTGAAGAGCAATCCCATGGCCAAGCAAGTACTTTCTTCGAGGAATCCCTGTTCATGACTTAACAAATTCATTTTAACTGACAATGGGAAGTGAAGCTATTTTACAGGAGGACAGAAATACTACATACCCTTCATGAAAAATAGGTGTACCAGGATGATATAGGCATTTCTCTTTGTTACTGTCGTCACCATTGTAACACTGGAAATAAAATGTTCAAGTATCGTACCCAAGGTGTCACTTACACTCTCTGCATCCGTGTCATAGCAAAGTTGAAGGCATGCGGCTAGCTATTTAATTGGTCTAAGGCAAAAACCTGTCCTTTGAAGATTACAGAGGAGTGACACCCAACTTCAAAACCAGACAATTTTACCTTTACATGACCAAGAGATTCTTTTGATGTGTAATCAAAGGATCAAACTAGCCTTCTCGTCCCATTAACATGGGGGTGCACATTGAGCCTTTAATTTTGCTAAGACATATTCCAGGGTGCAGGGAGCAAAAGTGACCGAAACCTCTGGAATTTCGAGGATGACAATTAATATGAGCTGTATGTTTATGAGTTTTAATACATACAGATAGTGATACATTTATGTTCATAATTATTAATCTAAATAACATAAGAAATGGTTAAAACATTAAGGTATATATGGAAGTAATATAGACTGATAATAACATTATATTGACAAAACTAATATGACACAGTCTATTATTGTCTGACACTGCTCAATGAAGTCAACCATGTGAAAAATGGTGATAGACAAAGCTCCCTGCCATCGGCTGATTTGAGTATTTTGAGGGGTGAACAAAAAAAATTGAGATACTTACAGATTTACATGCATTACGTTTACAAGATGTTCCAATTTTTACTTCCCCGCTTTTTCCATCTGTATCTGAAATGAGTGAAAGTCTGAATGAGTGGAAGTTCTGTATAGAATCATAAACTCTAATGTCACACAGAATTTAAATCCAATCTCTGGTATAAAATACTATACATTATTACAACTTTTCTAATTTCTTATTCATTATCAGGATTTATATTTTTTGGAAATTGTCCCCACGATGAAATTAGGAAAAACCATCAAAAACAAAATATTTTGAGAAATTTGGATTGTCATTATAACATATGAATACATAAATGCGAATACAAACAGGAAGTTAAAACTCATTTTGCAAGCTTTCAAAAACATTTTTTTTATCATGCAAAGAGTACAAATGACCAGTGTCTCAACTCTAAATGGCCGTTAAACTCCCACAGCCTGTTGACTAGGTACCGTGATAATATAAGCACCTGCATTCTGTTGAATTAAACTGAGCTCTTTGAGTTTTTTTTCCAGGGCTGTTTTTAAAGATGCTCCTATAGTACACTTGAGTTTTTGTTTAGGTTCGCTAGCAGATGGTCTATCATTGGGATCCTTCGGTTTCACTGGCTGGCGAGGCGGTTCACATGGAATAACCTGCATCGAATCATCAGATATGATAATTATATATAAACTGTTGTAACAAGGGAGACAAAACAAGTAGGTTTTTTCATCACTACTTCAATGGGAGCTGTTAGTTAAGTAAAAAGGTAAAATACAGGCTCGCTGACAAGTAAAAGTAGAATAAACGGTTAAAATAAATACACATTGTTAGGAAAAACTAAAACACACAGGTAAAATATAGACTCATTGACAGGTTATAACCTAATATACACAAGTAAAATTAACACTCACTGACATGTATAATACATGAGAAAAATACAGATTTACTGCCAGGTAAAATTGAATACACAGTTAATGCATCACTGAAGACACATTTGAACTCTTCCAATTCAAATGATGGAATAATTCATTATGAAATTTCAGGGGCGAATGAGTTAAGAACAATGAGAAGGTGCCAATGTAAAAAGATCAGTACAGTCTTAGGGGGCCGGGTGATTTTTGAGAAAAAAAAAGATCCTTGGGCATGGGTGCTCTTATGGAAAAAATGCCATGATCACTCACTTTGCAACACATTTACAAACGTTCCTATCTTAATTTGCCACAAAAATAAACAGCAAAATTCTGTAGCTATTGTCATTTAAGCCTTTGATTATTATATAATAATTAGGAGAGATTTGAAGAAAAAACAGATGTACCGGTAACCTGAATGGCTAACAAAAAGTAAATGTTTATATAGGTATGGGTTCAGTATTTATTTGACCAAAGTGACAATAGAAAGTATTTCAAAAGAGACATTCAGTGATAATTCATGACTTTGGCAGATTTATAAGTTTGTAGATATTGTCTTCTTATATTATTTGTCTTTAACAAATGTATGACAAATAAGGTTTATCAGTTCAGAAATATTTAATATCGAATGTAGAAAGTATAACTTTGATATTTTAACAAGTGTATAACTTATATCAACAAGAGCATCAGTGGAACTGATGTAGAATGAACATTTTTGGGGAGCATAAAAATGGATAAAGATAAACAAGTGTTCCTACCTCATTGTCAGGTTTTTGTTGTTTTTCTGCCTCTGGAGGTTTCACTTCATTATGTTTGGCATTTGTACAACCCTGCAATAGGTTAATATGCAGATGTACAATGTAATTAAAAAAATCATCAGGTAAGTATATGTGTTACCATTTTCAGTAGCATTATATTGTTATGTTAGTTTTATCCATAATAACGTCTTGTCTTGCCAATTTTTTGAAAACACAAATAGGCAAGTGCAGTGTGGAATTTATATTACTGTACCATTGTTTAAAAATTGTTTATACCATGTATCGATAGTTTTGTCCCTGTTTTTCAGTTGCCTTTTCATTCAATGGTTGAAAAAGAAAAGAAAAGATATAAGGGCAAACAACTTTTAGTTTGCTTATTGACAAAGAAATTGGTTTACATACTTCAATAATTTTTGAGGAAGACCTTAATAGCTTTCATGAACAGAATGTTATACAGAGTTACAACAACATTGTGATACACAAAGATACACTTAAATTCCATTAGTTAAAAGATTTGACAAACACTTACAAACATTTATATTATACAGGCATCATAATGTGTACAGTAATTAAGACCTTATTATACTGCCAACAGTTGTCCAGAGTCTGAGAAAATTTGGCATTATGAAGGGGTTTGGCGATAAATTGTGGGAAATATAGAAGTTGACTAAAAAGAAGAATTAAACAAAAGGGGTGTTGTTAAATATGTTAGCGATAAACAAGTCCAAGGTGGCAAATGAAACAAAGGGCATTATACTGATGATTTAACTCATTCACCCCTGCAGACACATTTGAACCCTTCCAATTCAAAGGTTGGAAGAGTTTATTATGAAATTTCAGGGGTGAATGTTAAATGTTAAGTTTTGATTTAGTAAGATAAAATTTGAGAGAAAAGATACTCAATTTCCACTGGGGTTGGGTGAAACACTGAAGATATGTACATGTATACATAGTCAATTGCTTCTCTCTAGAGTGATTACATTTAGATGATTTTATCATATTTTGCCGTCATGATGAAATTTTAATTTTCATGGTCACAAAGAATTTTCTTAAGTCTTGTAGTGTTAAATATAACTGACTGTTATGCTACATAACAAAACACACAGTCTTCTTAACACACGCTATATGCTATATTTACAGTGTGTTGTGTAAAATTAGAATTAATTAAACACTCATGAAGACTAAGAAGTTTTACATTCAATATCACATATCTACAAAAAATTAATGTAATTGCGGAAAGGTTGCCTCAGATTTCACCCTAGGAATATTGAGAAATTTACATAAGAATTCACATACCGTGTGTACATAAACAGAAAATTACTGACAGAACATTTATAATTTTACTTCTAGTACTATAGTAGATTTATTTAACACATTTACATACAGGAATACTAAGGAATTCGGAGAAGTCAGTGCTTCGTTTCTTACAGCAGGACCAACCCTTCAAGGCATCATGGAATACAGGTCCTCCGGGATGGTACTGACAGTCCCCTGTAACAAAATAAGTGAAGGATATTTCAAGTAACCAAAACAACATAATAATAATAAGAGTAACTGTTAGCAATCATTAAAAATAGCATTTTTGTATGTAGATATACCATGACCTCTTATTTTAATCAGACATAAATTCCGCAACAAAATGCAAGATGTCAACAGGCTTTAATCAGTTTAATACTTGTATTCACTCTAAATTTTATTGTGCTCAACATATTTGACCCTTTAACCTTGAAAATAGTACAAGGTCATTCATTTTTCTGTAGACTGATAGACATTGGCTATGTGAAAACCAGATGGTCTATGAAACACGTCAGTATGATAATTGTATCAACTTCAAATAGCGGAAAATTTTCAAGTCATTAGAAATTAAGTATTTCACAGGCACTTTTTTCTAGTTTTGTTCGTTTCCTTAATTTAGACACAATAGGTTCAATAGAATATTGGAATATCAAGTACAGTCAACATACTACATATTCAAATGTTTAGATGGATTTAGGCAAGGCAAAAGAAAAGAAAGGCACCAGTGTCAAAATTGAAGCAACAGAAACTTGGAAGAAGATCATAATGAGATTAACAGAATCATTCACCCCCTTTGGGGTGAGATAAGGGAATCTCAACCCGAGGGGGGAGATTCTGATGTTACCAAACACAAGGCTTTGCCGAGTGTTTGGCAACTTAAGAATCTTTCCCCGAGGGTTGAGATCCCCCTATATCTTACCCACAAGGGGGTGAATGATTCTTTTTCTCTTACCCTGTTCTCCCAATGTGTATCATATACACAACGTAATGATAACGTTACATGCTAAATTCAGGGTTGACGTGACCTTGATGGATTGTTGACGTGACGTCATTGTATTGTTGCAGTGACGTCATACCATTATTATAAATAGGGGAATCCCCCCGTCTCAACCCTAGGGCGGAGACAGATAAATCTAGCACCGGCAAAACAGGAGATACATCTGTCAGGTGTGGGAGAAAAGGGAATACAGGTCTCTGTCTCATTAGAAGGTGGGACGGAATGGCTACTCAATAATGATGATAAAATATGGTATAGGATATGGGTTACAGTTGGCTTTCAACGTTGCAATTTTTGGCACTAGTATATCTTTTATCCTCTGTATCTAATGGTTACACAAGAATTCTGAATTATCTTCCGAAAGGACACCAAAGGTGTGAATCTGCATCTTAGGGATGCTAATTATCTACAGGAAGACATCGATGCCAAATTGAATTATTGAATATAGACACACGCTTTTAACAATTTTATCGACGTGCACACGATAAATATTACGAGTAATGGGTTGTTTGTTAACATTCGTCCTATACTGTATATGTATAGTAGTCAAAATATTTGACTACACTGTATATACAGTATTTGGTTAAATCAGCCCCAAGTAATATCGGCCAGGCTGATTCTACCCAAGTGAAATCGGCCCAAGTTAAAATCGACCCTACTAGTATATATCTATATGTTAAAAACATGGGATATAGACATAAATTTATAAGAACAATTATATTTAAATAAATATATTAAAGGATTTATTTATTTACGTACTGGTGTTGTTGTTTGTTTCTATTGCCTAACACTTACCTCCCCTTGTGGAACTTGCGACAGAGACAAGGACATGCAGAAAGGGGTTATTGTAACATTTATGTATAATCCATGTATACATAGGGCCGATTTTAACTTGGGCCGATTTAACCATAAATCGTATATATACAGTATAGCCTACCAGCGTACTATGGTACTTCCTGATTTACTTTCACACAAGACAAATAGAACCTGTGCCACACACTGTTGAAAATTTACTAATATCTACCCCTACAATATAAAAGTCTACACTTGTCCGCAGAATATCTATAGGGTATTATTATGATGTCTGCGCCTGTCAAATGTAACCATTTTACTTCCGGGTTACTTATTTTGATTAAAAGGGGCATTTCTCGATAAATATGTAAGGGTTATGCCCCTTCTACCACACATTTACTCAAGGGATGCTATGCAATGGGTCATAGGTTACTGGAAGTGATTGGTCGTCTGCAAATTAACCAATCATCTGTTGTAAGCAGATGCCACCCAAACGGAGAAAACTGTCTCTATCAGAGAAAAGTGTCATCAAATCTTTGCATGAATAAGGAAGAAACCCAAATCAAATATCTGAAAAAACAGGAAACCCCCTTCCAACAATTTATGGTGTTTTGCGAAGTATTTGTGAAGAAGGATCGATTGAAAACAGAGAGAGAAGTGGCCGACCCTCCAAGCTCACTGAACGGGATCGATTCTCGTCTATTTTGTGGTATCGTTAAATCAAACAGAAGGAGATCTCTGGGTGAAATTATTAATATTTTTAATGAGTTAAGACCCAAACCATTTCTAAACATACTGTGCAAAGAAAATTATATGAGGAAAATTTAAACAAACGTGTTGTGAAAAAGGAAATCAGAATACTCGAAGCTAATTCTTGACACCGTCGCGTTTGGTGTAAACTTAATAGATACCAAACTGTTGATGATTACTGGAAAAACATGATACTGAGTGATGAGTGTAATGTTGAATAGGGCATGGACAACCGTGTTTTGGTATGGCGACAGCCCGGTGAAGAACGGACCCCCTGGTGTTTGAACCCAGGAGGTGGACAATGACAGTCTTTGATGATCTGGGGCTGTATAGACTACAAAGGGGTAGGTACTTTAACTGTTGTAGATGGTAACCTAAATGTTGAAAAAAACATAGACATTGTTTACAACTTTGTGTGGCCTGTTATAGCACGCCATTTTCCAAATAACGACTATGTGTTTCAAGATGACAATGCTCCGTTACATCGTGCTCGTGTGGTGAAAAATCTTATTGAGGAAATAGACTCAATGTCATGGAATGGCCAGCCCAGAGTCCAGACTTTAATACAACTGAAAATGATTGGAGAAAAAATAAGATTAAACTTCAGAAACAAGCCCACAACATCACCTCTCGTGTAATTTATAAGGATGCAATGCGCATAATATGGACATAAATATCCCAGGAATTCATCCAAAAATTGTACAAATCAATCCCAAAGCGCATAGAAGCAGTAGTCAAAGCCAAGGGATGTATCACAAAGTATTAGGTAAGTTTAAGTCATGACACTTTCGTAGCAAATGACGTTTAATTTCTGCGGTGTCAAGCTCACAAAAATGGCAGCCATCTTGGATTTATCTTCACCGAGTTAGCTCATGCAGTAGCTATGGTTATCAAATTGTTTCTGTTATAAGCTATCATTATCAAAATATGTCGATAGCTCTACCTTACCATCATTGTTAGCGTTCAGGTCAAATCGTTTCCCACATCCTTTGTTGTAGCATTGAACTAATCCGTCTGCTGCCATGTTTACTCCACATGTAAGCCTAGATATGCACAGGAAATTTCCAGAAATTATTTCTGACAACACTAACCGTTTCCGCCTTCAACAAAGGAGAGTTCGGCAATTACGGAAGTACTAGGCCGTGGTATAATTAGGTCTTTCGAGCTTCTGAACTCGGTACCTTTTTTCCGGAAATAAAGCGTTTAAAAAAAAATCTATAATGAAATAAAGATAAATTATCTCCGAGTCCGACATACAGTCCATTTCATTCTAGTGACACCTACCTAAGTTAGCCTTCAAACTGGCGACCTTTATGGTACAATAAGTTAAAACAAACAAACTAAAAAGTCTGAATATAATCAAAAGTTTATAGATGAAGAAGACTTCTACGATAGATATATCTATAATAATCGCATTCAACAAGTTGAAGATAATGTTATTTGAGATCGATGCATAATGAGAGAGAAGAAAGATAAATAGACAAATATATATATATAAAAATATATAGAGTCTAACTACAGATTTATGCTAGCTTTGTAATGGCTGATTTGAAGGCCGTCAATTTTTCAAGTTCAGGGATCTCTGGGGGCAGTCAGTTCCAGTCAGATATTGTTCTTGGACATGCATGATGGTACTTGAAAGGAATAAGCATGGGCCTTAATTATATATATATGATTCCGGGTGAGATTTGAAGGAGCAACTAAAATGTCATTGGATATGGCAATTTGAACGACATCATGGCAATGTAAAATAGCAAAACACGATCATGATAGCATGAACGACATCATGGAAATGTATGATAGCAAATAACAAGTAGATTCAGTAATTTTAGACTTTAGTAAAGCGTTTGACACGGTACCACACAGAAAACTGTTACATAAACTCAAAAAGTATGGAATTGAAAGACTTGTTTTAAACTGGATTTCGTCGTTCCTAAAGGATCGTTACCAGAGAGTTATTGTCGAAGGTGAAGCATCATCCACCTGTAAAGTTGACTCTGGAGTCCCACAGGGTACTGTATTGGGCCCGATACTTTTTTGTGTCATATCAATGATTTACCACCTTGTGTCACATCACAAGTTCGTATACTCGCGGACGACTGTCTGCTTTATCGCCAAATTGGAAACTATCAAGATCACTTATCACTACAGAAGGATTTGAAATCACTTCAAACCGGGGCAGACAATTTGGGAATGAAATTTAACGCAACAAAATGCTTCCTGATGTCAATCCATCGTAGTAAGAAACCACCAGTTTTTAACTATACATTAGATAATCATATACTAAAACAAGTACAAGACAACCCCTACCTCGGTGTACAGATCAGCGAAGATCTCAAATGGTCAACATATATCAACAAAACATGTAATCGAGCTAGTAGTATTTTAGGATTTATTCGTTGAAACTTAAGACACAGCCGTAAAGAATTCAAGGAAAAAGCATATGTATCACTAGTAAGTTTGGGACCCGCACCCCCAAAAGGATGTAGATAAAATTGAAGCAGTGCAACGTCGTGCCGCTCAGTTTGTGTGTAATGATTATTCGTCGAAAAGTATTGTCAATAAAATGTCAACCACTTGTTGACCGTCGTAGAGAATCATCCATAACCTGTGGCCGTCCCCGCCGACACCTTATGGGAACCAAATAAATTTCAACGTCATTCAAACACAAAATTAGTAAAATTAGTACTCTGTAACACTGATATCTATACATTTTCATTTGTACCGCACACTATCCGGGATTGGAATTTATTACCAGACTCAGTGGTTAACTGTGAAACGAACGATAGTTTCAAGAGTACCCTAACACTGTTTTGGAAATGAGATGAGGTCTTCAGCGCACACCCCTCCAACCCGCGATAAGCAGTGCTCAGTAGTGAGTTAATTTCGTGAGAAAATTACAGATACAGATGCAGATTGTGTGCAATCTTAGGGAAGGTACAAAGGCCCATATCCTTACGTCGTCTTTCTAGAGAGGGCCAGTCCAGCTTGCTCAGCATGTCACCGACACTGGACATATTCCGGTGCCTATTTGTAACATACCGATCAGCTCTACGTTGCACCATTTCTATTTGTTGGAAGTCAGTCTTTGTATAAGGGTCCAATACAGTGCATGCATATTCAAAAGATGGTCTGACAAGGGCCTTGTACATTGTATGTATGTTCTTTGACGTGTGTAGAACCTATTTTTTAGGTTTCTGCGGAGGAAGCCTAAGGTGGAACTAGCCTTCGCACTAACTTTATTTTTATGAGCATCCCATTTTACGCTTGATTGGATGTTAAGGCCTTTTTAAGTGTTGACATCATCTACATGTTGGAGCGGAGGTATAATACAATTTGACAGGGTACTTATTTCTAGTGATTGACCTTGCATTACACTTGTCAGGATGAAATGACAATTTCCAGTTCCTCTCCCACTGTGCCAGAAGGTCACCTGGCACAGCCTGAACCCTTAATATTTGACTGCCAGGTAGGCAATGTTGTCATCCGCAAATATGAGGACAGTTGCATCTAGGCCCACCGGCATGTAATTGATATAGAACAGGAATAATGTCGGGCCGATGACCGAGCCCTGAGGGACCCCAGGCCTGATGTTACTGACATTAGCATGTTCCATACATTTTCTACATATAGACGTCAAAGAAATTGGTCTATGGTTTTCTGGGATAAATTTTGGACCCCTTTTATATATGTTTTAGATATTATGGGCTGTATTCCAGTCAGTTGATTTTAATGACTGTTGAAGGATTAAAGTGCGAATTGGTGCGATGTCATTAGCCAGTTCCTTCAAGAATTAATGTTTGAGATTGTCAGGACCAGCAGCTTTTTTTGGGATTGAGATTTTCTAATAATTTGTTAACACCCTCTACTGTAATGGTAAAATCGGGCATAACTTGATGATGTGGTATTGCCGATATGTTGCATCTTTGTTCAAATTGAGTAGCAGTAAGCTTCTCTGATGTAAAGAAGACAGACTGAAGTTGTCTGTTAAGAACTTGGGCCTTGTTCACAGGGTCATGGACGAGTTTTTCATTTTGTTTCAGTGAAGAGATGCCGTTAAAGTCTGTTTTTTGTGTTTAATGTAAGACCAGAATTTCTTCATGGTCCCATACTCTGAATCAATCTCCGGAGAAGAGTTAATAACTTCAATGTACTGCCAATATGCCAGACGCAATAACTTTTGTATAAGATGTTTTAACTCCCTATATTTCGATTTCATATTGCATCTCTTTTGTGCATCAATTTTATTTTCTGATATTAGAGGTTACCCATGGTTGACAAGGTTTGGGTTTGAATGGAATTAGTCAGACCCAATCTAAATATTTAGACCAACAACTAAACGACTCAGTACAGGTTAAATTTCACAATGATTTTAATGGTGTACCTTTTTCAGATCACTATCAACTATAGTATTTACATCCTGGTCAGGGTTTATTTGGATTGAACTTAATATGACTGACAAGTCTGATCTCATGCTGTCACAGTTGGCTTTTTTTTATAGATGGGGTTATTTCGTGGTCTAAAAGGGGCTCTTTTGGGTGCAATTTCAAATCCAACAAATGATTTGTCGTGATCAGAAATACCAGGGACGACTTCAGTTCGGAAAATTTGACTAAGGAAATTGGTGATAATGAGATCAAGGGTATTCTCATGCCAAGTTGGTTAATCTATGATCTGTACGAGACCAGTATCATCTAGCAAGTTGGAAAAGTTGTAATTATTTTGGACATGGTTGGTTTTGGGTATGATTATCTTTCGCTCCCAGTCCCAGTCTGGTAGATTGAAATCTCCTCCAATAAGGAGTGCCGCACCATTCAGGGCGGTTGCTCTTTTCAAGGATGTATGGAGCCTTGCAAAGCTGATTTCATTGGATGTTTTTGGGTTGTAGTAAGAGCATATGTATAATGTTTTCTTGTCCACGATTTTAATGTTTACTCACATGATTTTTGTGGTACAATGTATTATCATCAGGTAGTAACTCAGGAACCTCATCACTGATGTAATCCCTTTTTATCGTTATGAGGACTCCTCCCCCATCCTTGTCATACGTCTGTTTTTTACTGTCATTACGACACACTTTGAAAGTATCTTGGAATAGTTCTAAACTGTGAATGTTTGGGTTTAACCACGTTTCAGTGCCAAAGATGATAACTGGTTTGGTACTTTCGAGGAGATTGTGTAGGTGTTGTTGTTTGTTTTTAACAGACTGAAATTTGATGTTGGGTATTCTCAGGGGATTGGTCTTTCTTTTAGTATGCCTCTTGTTAATCCTAACTGGAGTTGATTAATTTACGCTTGCATGAGTAATATCAAGGTCTGAGTGAAGGCTATCAAACCTATTTAATGTAGTAACACCATGCAGCTCAAAGGAGTGTTTTAAATAGATGGGTGTCCCCCTCCCCCCTTTTTTGGACAGACGGGGCGGGGTCCAATAGGGGCAAATCAGGTAAATCTCTAAAATCATTCTTAGTCTATACCATTGGAGGGATTTTAACCAAATTTGGTCCGGAGCACCATTTAACGGGGGTCGTGGCCTCCCTAGGAGCAGAGGGGCGGACCCCAATAGGGAGAACATGGTAATGAATGTTGAACATCCTTCTTAAGAGCATCATTAGGCTAAGGGGACTAAATTTTGTTGAAATAGAGGATGTGGCAACATTTTGGCGGAGGGGCGGGGCCCTTTAAGGAGAACATAGTAAAACATGTTAAAGATCCTTCTCCTTAGTTCGATTCGAGGGATTGAATACATTTTTTTTGTGAATAGCATCCTTCGGCAAAGGGGACTCAATTTTGCATAAACCTTGGTCGTTGTTCATCTTGTAGCAGAGGGTCGGGGCCTTATAAGGAGAACATAATAATAAATGTTGTAAATCCTTCTTTTTAGATTGGAGGGATAAAACAAATTTTGTGTAGAGCATCAATCGGGAATAGGGACTTAATTGTGTTTCAACGGAGAGTGTGTCCCCGCCCTAGGGGCAGAGGGACGGGGCCCTATAAGGAGAACATAGTAATATTGTTTTTAATCCTTTATTTCGATTGGAGGGATTTTAAATACATTTTGTGTAAAGCATCCTGTGGCAAAGGGAACTCATTTTGGTAAAAATTGAGGG